TGGAGACAACACAAATTTTTCCACAAAATGGCAAGGACAGAAGGGAGAACACAATAAAAAAGATAGAGGTTCAGGGGGTGGAAATAGAAGAGGAATGACAAATCAAATGTCATATTGCAAAATTCTATGAGGACTTGTACAAGGAAAAATGGAGGTCTAGACCAGTGCTGGATGGGTTACAGTTTGAGTCCCTTTCAGCTGAGCAAGCTAGAGACTTGGAGAAGCCCTTTTCAGAGGAAGAAGTGTGTGGGAGGTGGTAAAAGGGTTAGAGGGTGATAAGGCCCCGGGACCTAATGGATTCACACTCTTATTCTATAAGAAGTGTTGGGGTTTCGTGAAACAAGATGTAATGGATGTGGTTAAGGAATTCCATGAAAGCGGTGCTCTCGAAAGAAGCTTTAATCACACTTTCATCACCCTAATTCCAAAGAAGAAAGGTGCAGTAAAGTTAAGCAGTGTTTACAAGATATTAGCTAAGCTCTTGGCTAATAGGATGGCAAAAGTGATTTCAAGCTTGATTGCTGAAACCCAAGGTGCTTTCATGGGGGAAGACTAATAGTTGATAGAGTCCTCATAGCAAATGAATTAAAAGATTCAAGGAAGAAAAGTGGTCGTGCGGGACTGTTATGTAAAGTAGACATGGAGAAGGCATATTACCATGTAAATTGGAACTTCCTTGATTACATGTTCAGGAGGATGAATTTTGGGCCGAAATGGAGAAATTGGATAAAAGTGTTTCTTTCTTCTTCCCCATTTTCAGTTCTCATAAATGGAACCTCGTTTGGGCATTTTGGAAGCACTAGGGGTCTTTGACAGGGAGATCCCCTTTCTTATTTATATTTGTAACAGAAGCCCTCTTCAGAATGGTAGAGAGAGCAAGGGAGGGAGGACTGCTGGAAGGCTTCCAAGTAGGGAATGGGGAAGTAGAGATTTCTCTTCTGCAATTTGCAGATGACACGCTCTTCTTCTGTGATGCATCTTGGGAACAAATTTGGAATGTTGAGGCAATCTTAAGATGGTTTGAGGTGGTTTCAGGCTTACACATCACATCCAAAAGAGTGAGATAATGGCAGTTGGGGAAGTGGCAAACCTGGATTCTTGGGCGGATGATTGGAGATGTAAAGTGAGTAAACTCCCTTCAAAATACCTGGGTGTGCCTTTGGGTAAAACTTGTAAATCTAAAACCATTTGGGAACCTATTATTGAGAAGGTTGATAGGAAACTGGCCTCTTGGAAAACCAAGTACTCGTCAAAGGGTGGGGGAGTCACCTTAATTAAAGGTGTCTTATCTTTCCTCCCTGTCTACTATTTGTCTTTATTTCCAATTCCAGCTAAATGGGCTGCAGCTTTAGAAAAAAAAGATGAGAGATTTCCTGCGGAGGGGTTGGAAGGACTCTAAGTGTCATTTGGTAAACTGGAAGAGAATCTGTTCACCCAGGGCAAAAAGGTTTAGGGATAAGATCAGTGAAAGATGTCAACTCAACCTTGCTAGGGAAATGGCTATTGGAGATTCAACAAGCACTCTGACAGCCTGTGGAGAAGATTAGTTGTGGCAAAGTATGGCTCTAGCAGCAGGGAGTGGGAGACAGAAGAGGCAAGATCCCCTTATGGCTGTTCAGTTTGGAAGGCTATCCACAAAATTTGCCCTCAGTTCTTGAAGGGCATAATATATGAAGTGGGAAATGGTCATAGGGTGCTTTTTTGGAAGGATTACTGGTGCGGTGAGGGCCCTCTATCGACCTTATTTCCTGATCTGTTTGAGATAGCTGTAAATAAGGATGCTTCTGTGGCTGACTATATAGAGAGGCAAAATGGTTATGTTACATGGAACCCTCTGTTCAGGAGGAACTTGAATGACTGGGAGGTGGAGTCTTTGGTCAACCTGCTGCAGATTTTGTATGATGCCAAACCAAGATCCCGGGTTCAGGGGAGGGCAAAAGGAAATGGTTGTATGAGAAGTCAGGCTCTTTCTCAGTAAAGTTGACTTAACTTACTAGGTTTGGACAAGACTACTAGAGTTTTTTGGAGTTAATTTATGTTTCCCAAAGGATGTGAAGGGTTTCCTAGAGGCTTGGTTCCTAGGAGGCCTCAGCAAGGCTGGAAAAGTAGCTTGGAGTATCCTCCCCGCTGCTGTTTTCTGCGCAGTGTGGGGTGAAAGAAATATTAGAATTTTTCAAGGAAGGCAGAAATCAAAAGAAGAGGTGCTCAACAGGATTATGGGGATGGTGTTTTCGACTTTTCGTGGCTGACAAACCATCCACTCTTCAAAAACAGGAAAACTTGTTTGTTTTTGAGCCTGATTTCCTTTTTGTAAGATCGTAGGGTTTTTTTTTTTTTTGGGTTGTTTTTGGAGGCTGGCTTTTCTGGGTTTTTCTGTCTATTTCTGCTGTACAGTCTCTCATTGTACAGGGGCCTTTTGTATGCTGCCCTTTTGTTATTAATGAATTACTTTACCTTACGGCTTAGTTTGGAAGGAGTACAAATGCAAATATGTAGAGTGCAAAACCTTATATTTTGTATTATTTTGTATGTATTTACACTGTACATATTTGCATTTGTACTCTTTCCACACTGAGCCTACAGTTTTCAAAAAAAAAAGAAAAATCACTCAATGGAGACATAGAATTACTCTAGGATTTCAATGGACTCACTCCATATAGCATGGAAAAGAAAGCCAGTATTTCAACTTTCATTCATTCATTTGTTCTAATGGCAAGAAAAAGGAAGTTTATAGGTGAAAGATATAAGGTGGAAAACTTTTTTTTTTTTTTTTTTTGGAAGTTTATAGGTGAAAGATATAAGGTGGAAAACTTTTTTTTTTTTTTTTTTATCAATATAAGGTGGAAAACTCATCATCATCATCAATGGCTTATCCCAACTATATGGGGTTGACTACATGAATCCTGTTTCGCCAATCTGTTCTATTTAAAGCCATATCTGCTGTTAAATTATTAGTGCTTAAGTTGTTCTTACTACTTCTACCCATGTCCTTTTTGGTCTACCCCAAGCTCTTCTAGCCCCTTCGATGCATAACAATTTAAGGTGGAAAACTATGCATTGTAAATCATTTCTTAACTATCTACTGAACTAATGATTGTGGAACTTGAAACTTAACTTATTAATGACTAGAAAAATGACTCTCATTGGATCGGATCACACTACCAATGAGTTGGAAAAATGACTCCCATGGATCGGATCACACTACCAGTAAGTTAAGAATGAAATATATTGTAGGCCAAATCAGCCCAACTCCTAAAAATTGTAATCCTGACAAATTAGAATTTTCTGATTGGCTTTCTTCTGTCTAGATTAGGTTTTTAAAGGCCCAAACTGATCCTTATCAATTCCATGTCAAGGGGATATTAAGTAGTGGCTTGTGCATCAAAGAAGATAACTATCAATATCTATTGAATGGGTTGCTCCAGACAGTCTAGTAAAGTAAAACCTTGATTTCGGTTCATTTGAGTAACCCCTGACCTTCACGGGGTGACAGGCATGTTTAGAAATCATGAAGGTTCATTCCTTTTGAGCTTGTTGGGATCAGTGGGTGAAGGAAACTCCCATAGTGCTAAGCTATTATTGTTGCTATAAGGCCTAAAGATGTCCTACGCTTCTGGTTGGTGTGGCTTATGTGTGGAGAGTGACTGCCATATTGTGATAGGATGGATGAATTTGATGGTTGGCAGTCCTTGGAACCTTAGATTTTCCCTTTCGGAAGTTAAGCATTGGCATTTCACATGAATTTCTCATTCAGACCCAAGGTCAGCCAATACTTAAGTTGATAGTGGGTCAATAGGAATTTGTATGTGTGTGTGTGTGTTATGAGCTCACATTGTGAGATAGACATTGCACTATGCTGTTCCCTGTACTTAACTGATGGTAGCAGGGATTTATTTTCTTACTAATAAAATCACTATTGATTTGTTATAAAGGAAAAAAAAAGAGAAAATTTCCATATTATCAGAGGTGTTATCCCCCATTAATATGCCTTCAATCATATTTCATTACCTTGATCCACATGCTCACTTTTTTTAGCACCTTGATATATACCTACTCCTCACTGATGTCATGTCATTTGCTTTTTTACACACAACAAAACCATTTTAACTGACTTGCATACTTGATCTAACAATTCTGTTCAATAGCTTTCTTCTGATGGTATTGGGATGTGCAAATCAATACAACTGCTAGGGCCCATTTGGTGTAATGATAAAATCCCAGGCTGTCAGTATGAGAACATGGGTTTAAAATCTGAGAGTGGCCACTGCTAAAAATGCCAAATGTTAGGACTGCATCCAGTCCACCCCTCCCAAGACCCCAGATAACTGGGACCAACATTGGGTAATGGCCTTTAATATCCATACAACTGCTACCAGGTGTTGGCCCACCTTGTGAATTGCAGTGACAAATTTGCACCATTTTGGCAGTACCAACTTTGGATAATTGCAACTTTCTTGCTTAAATTATGAATTTCTTAACTCCAAAATTATGCCATCTAATCTGCCAAGGTGAGATTGCTTCAACTAACAGTTCTTAACATTTCAACCATTTCTATTTGGGACCTTGGGCAAACTTACAGATTTTGGTGGTGCATATCCATAAAACTTTAGCTCTATGCATGCCATAGGCATATGACATCTGTAGCGATTCATTTCTTCACCCTCAAAAAATAGTGGACTTTTATCAGATTGCTTGGGTTCCACCACTTAATGTGATCCAAGTTCTGAACTGTTCAGTGGACACTAGGAGAACTTGCTTAGAATCAGGATAATGCAGTGTGTAGATCACTTAATTGGTCATCTGGATCATTAGAGGTGATTCTGTTACTTGTACCTCCATCCAATTTAAACAATATTACAGCTAACAGCATCATTCACTGCATCTTTCCTCCGAACTTTGGATCCTAGGCAAATTCTTTCTGATGGGTTCTCTTAGCTTAGAAAGTTCATATCATTCAATTGCTCATTTAATACTCGGAGATATCTTGATGGGCTTTCCAGCAAACTTATTTTGGACAGGAAGCAAAGGACAGTCGGACATTTGGTCCAGTTCCTATGACAGACATAGTAGGTAGAGTCATATATTGCTTGAGAACGGCAGTGGATCATGGTCCCGTGCAAAACAGGTGAGTTGCTCATAATATTAAGTCATTCAATCTATATCCCTAATACAAAATGTAGTTATGATTTAGAAGTTTATTTTTCCTTGTTTTTGTTGGCCTCTGCCAGTCATTTCAGTATGCGCAAGGACTCACCAGTCTTGGAAGTTGAACTGGATGTTGATGAGATGGCAAAGAGTCACAAGGCATGACTGCAGATGGTTATAAAATGGGGAAACTGAAAGAAAATGCCATGGGCTTTCTCTCACTTCATCTGTATTATTTTTTTGTCCTTAGATGATTCCTTTACTAAAGACATGTTCGACACAACTGCGTTCTGCTAAGAGAAGAAGAGCCGGATGGGACTTTATATTGTCAGTTTTCTTTGGGTTTGGAGGATGACAAAATTATTCCTTGGGAATCTGGTATAGCCATTAGAGCTTTCGTTTTCCTATTTTTTAGCTAACCTGAGAATGTGCAGCTGACTGTCATGACTTCGATTCTCCAACTGTCTATTTGTTTTTCAAGAAAAGTTTTAGTTAGGAAACCAAAAGAAGGAAAACTTCACTTCTGTCACTGGATTTTGTTCATGCTTCCATTGGTTTGGTGGTTAAATTTAGTAATGCGTGCATGCATTATATATGAATATCAATCGTATAGGAAGAAAAATTTGCAGCGGTGAAGTCTGTATCATGACTCCTGACCAAGTTTCAAAACATCAGTATTCCAAAGTACATCGGTAAGGTAAGAAATGGTGTATCTTGATACGCATGGAATATGGATACGGTGAAAAGATATGGGTTGGACTATGGACTCCATGTATGGACTCCATGTATGCATTAAGAGTATTAAACTTATAATTGATCTTATGAAAAAATACATTACAATCAATATATCTGAACATCTAGACATCATATAATAATTTCACTGATGGTGCATCAACCAAAAGTTCAAGGTGCATACATATAGCCTATTACAACTTACAATATGCATAAAGTCAGACATTGTTAATATTTATTCAAGTCAAATAAATGTTAGATCCACGAGAACGTGGAAGATCCATTAATTCAAGAGCCAAAACAGGAATCATATACAACTATTATATTTTAATCATTGAAACAATTATTCTATATTTTATCATTTTTTGTATATTACCATAAAATCGTTTAGTTTTATTTTAATGGTTGTACAAAAATTATTAATGTAAATTAAGTTAGATTTGTTTTTAATATTTTATTTTTGCAAAAAATAAATGTGTCATTATTTATTGTAGATTAAATAGTTAATAATTTATAGAAATGCATAATTTTAATTTAATAAACTGTATTAGGTCCATTAAAATTAGGGGTGCAAATGGATTGGATCTCTGATCATGATCCAATCCGATCTGAAGTATGATCCTATATTGTTATATACAGATATCTCTATTTCGGATTTTTGGATTGGATAATAGGATTCAATTAAAAATCAGATTAGATTTGGATTACCCTTATCTGATTCGAAAGGATTTAGCCTGGCATATATATGTTATTTATTTATTTATTCATATATAATTTATATGTCATTTATATTGCACTTTTGTAAATATTCTATATTATTTATTTATTTATAAAAAGCATGTATATGTATGATGAAAATAGTTGAAAATACTTGTATTTTTGTTTTTCTTTATTTAAATTGTTATATTTTATATTTTTAATATTTTATTATTTTTTCAAAATAAATTGGATCCGATCAGATATGGATATCTGACATCTTAGTCGGATTTGAATTCAAATCAGTATTTATGAGATCTGATCAAATTGGATTGGATTTGAATATACCCTGATTCGAATCCAATCTGATCCGTTTGCATCCTTAATTAGAATTTTGTAAGATACATATTATATCATATTGTTGAAAAGGTTAGGATCCATCATATGGATGGCCAAATCATGCTAGATGGTTGGGCGGAATTTCAAAAATTTCTTAATCCTTCTGGGAATCGAATTCCTTATGTTTTGAAAAACTGCATTTTTTAGGGTCGGTTTTGCACTGAATCGGACTAGATTTGAACCAAACAAAGAGGGAGTTTATACCTGATACTAATACTACAAATGTATATTCCAATGTAGAAGTTCACGCTAAAGCCAGTCCTAAAACCAACCTCCATTGAATATGGCGTAGTGTATAGGTGAACCTAATTCAACAACACAATTTTCAGCGAAACTGCAATCCAACTACTTTGATCAAATTAGGGAAGGTGAACTTGAAATTCCTTTGAATTTTTTCTTACAAAAATTAGAAGAAAACTTATCTCTATCAGTCCTTGAAAGCTTAGGTCATGATAGGGTTTCTTGGAAGACAAAAGAGAAGAAGAGAGAATAAGATAGAGCAGTCTTCTTGTCTGGTTTGCCCTCTTCTTCTTTTATCTTCTTATGAAACATTCTCCTAATCAAACTAGGGGATTATCCAAATCTAATTTGGAGCTTGACTCTATTAAGAGATAAACCTTATCCTCTTAAGATGGGGTGCTTCATACCCATTTACAAACCTAAATTTGACCTAGAGCACATGACAACTTAATCTTATTAATTATGGGCCTTATGCCCATTTTCTTCAAAGGCTCACGACCCAAGATGTTGCATGGTCAACTTAGGCCTGATTTGTATGGCATGGGACTCCACAATGACCTCACATAAAGTCCACATGGGTTTGACCCAACCTCTATTAAAAGGCTTAATCGAATTTACTACTAAACGCAATGAACCCCTAAGCACATCACTATGGGCCCAATATTACACCTAAATGATCATTGAATTCRGCCATTATATGAAGACCCAAGGATAATGGACTTAAGTAAGATAAAACCCATCAGGTAATCAACCCTGTAATGGTCTCTTACACTTAACCTCTCGACCCATAATGATTACAACACTGCTCAACAGGGAAGGACCTCTCCCTTGGCTGCAAGGTACAATGTCACACATTCTGCTCGGATATATTTTGGGAATTAAAACCTTTTGCAAACATTTTCATAAAATATTAATATATGTATATATATATATATATATCATAAATATATATTGCAAAATTAGATTTCAAAACATTGTTGAAATTCATTGCCAACAGTTTAGGTTTCCATCAGAGAGAGTGAAACCCTATCATTCACTTTGTTCGACAAAGGGGACGATCCTGTCACTATGATCACCCACTTAGGTGAATTCTTAGACTGCCCCAACATACCTAGGTTTTGACCCTTGATGGATCTCACTGATTGACATATCAAAGACAGTCTAATTCAACACCTAGTGTAGTACCATAATCAAGTCTAGGGGTTATGTGTAACTTTCCAGTTTTTCCCATTAATTTCCAAGGTCTAGGGCGTAACTGGAAAATGGTTTGTATTCAGTGTTTCATCCAAACACACACTACATGTGCTTTGGGTCTAACCCTAGTAGCTGAGACAAGCTGCCCCAACTTTTTTGGTAGCACATCAGTGTCAGCCTTGACAGGATAAACTCCCAAAATATATCCAATGGTTGAAAACATTCTAAACTAACACGAGTCTCATAAGTGTTTAGTTTAAGTGTTAATTTCATAAAAGCATACCAATATTATCATGAAACAATAACACGCTGTCTAGCACATATGATTTATAAAATTATAATTACTCTATTTTTATTTCTATACATTAGCAAAAAGAATCATTTTTAATAGAAACTGTTGGTGGATCATGATATTTGATAGATCATACATAGATTCATTTTATAGCTCTTTTTAAAATGAAAATAATTTATAATAAATTATTTTTATCAGCTAGAAAAAGATAATTGATAAATTCCAACCCACCTCACAGCTTTTGCAACTACACATCAGAAACATCTCCATACTTGTATATTTTTACTCATGGAGAGATATTTCCAATGCATGGCTGCAAAAGTTGTGGGGTGGGCATGGAGACTGATTTTATGAGGAGCAAATCCAATATCCCCATCAAACCCCCTCTCTCATGAATTTTGCTGAACTTTCATTGGTTAGTGTATACCTTAGTATAAAGCATGTGTTGGGGTTTGCTTCATAATCATTGTTATTGGGACATTGGGATTTGGCTGTTTGGGGGCATTTTACACACAATAAGTGACCCCAAGGTTCAAAGTATCGATACACCTTTATGTATGGGCAGAGGTGTATCGGTACTTTAAGTGATGCATCTTTTGTTTTTTTTTTCAAGTTTCAATTTTAAATATACTTATATATATTATTTAATAACACAAGGGTTCTCAAAAACACCTGTAAACAGGTGTATCAAGCACCCAAAGATACAATATGATATATCCGTTATAAGACATATCGTATCAATACTTCGAATCTTGGGTGACCCCATTTAGTCCCTTGTTTATCTTTTTAATTAAAAGAATATTAATTGCAATTACTCTTTTATCCCACATACATATCAATGTATCATGCACATAAAGCTTTAAAACAACCCAGGCTGGTTGTTTTTTCTAAACAACTAAAGTTTTCTCATATAATGATTGACACTGTAGAATCACTGCAAATTATATCTGTTTGTTCAAATTTGGATCCAATTAAAGGATGAACTTAATTTTATATTGTATCAGTAAAATTGGTTTGAATGTTATGTTTTTATAGAAGAGTTGTATATTAAAGTTCTAATCAAGTTATTTTCAATTCATTTCATTCATGATAAACAATATTAAAGTTATCTTTATTCATTTTATTAATAATATATAATATTTTGATCATTTTGAGTTTAATTTATTAATGCAATTCAATATCCAATTACAACCCAAATTCAATTTAATTTATTTTTTCCAGAAAGCCCACAAACTTAATTCATTCATCATCAAGATTCATCTCAAGACTGATTACATGAGTTATGAAAGCAGAGAGGAAAAACAAGCATCGATTACAAGTTAGAGCAAACTTAGCAAGTTTTTGGGCCACACTATTGTCTCCTCTCTTTAATCTTAATGTGAACAACAGTGTGAGATGGAAGGTGAGATAGAAGACTTCTGAAATTAAAGATTAGTGTGGAGATTCGCCAAGGAAGAACAACAAGATTGATTGGGCATGGATATTGCATTTTTTTTACTTCATTTCTTTTATTTGCTCGTGTCTTTCAAGTTTTTCATGTCTCAACTTTATTATATCGGTACTTAAAAACATGTGCTTACACACACACACACACACACACACACATATATATATATATATATATATATATATATATATATATAAAGGATTTTTAAAAATAGGGATTCTAGTTGATAAGGGCAACTTTTGGGCCCTAATATCAATAAAAATAATATTTTTAATATAATTTCTAGAATATGTTAACTTTTTCTTTAAAATATCAAATAAGGGCAGAAATACTGTTCATCTCCTTCTTCATCCACACCCCCGAACAAATCTCCCCACCTTTATCTCTTTCTCTCTCCCTTCTTTTAAAATCCAGGCAACCAAATTAACAAAACAACCCCTGGATCAACCATCTGCCCTTTGTCTCAGGTTGATTTGTAGTAGTACAACCAATGTTTTAAGCCCTTGGTTTTTAAAATCCGAGGTACAAA